TTACCGCGAATTACAAAGGTGTTCATCAATAAAAATATCATACCTCCTACAAGAAAGACATACGAAGATCACACACCAGCTCCACCGACCGCGCCTCTAAAGTTTTGCAGTCACAGATGTGCCTCGCTTGCCCAATACCTCTAATTCAAAAGGCAGCGCACGTATGCAAAAGAACTGCGGAACTTGCACATCTAAACACCGAATCTACGTTCAGTAATCATTCATTTCATTACGCAATTAAATTCCTCTATTACATCTACCTTAATCCTCTATCAATCTCCAAATACAATTCTTTCCAAAATACTTCACCTCCTTAATATATATCTGGCCATTTTATATTTTTAATTATTTAATTGGTTTATATCAGTACTCTTATCTACAATTGTATCTGTTTCTCTTTATTGTTTTACTATTTTCAACTAATATTGATATTTGTAACTGTCGAACTAATATAGTATAACTAGCTCTCATATAAAATTATATTATTGTAAATGATCCTGTGTAAGACGTATCATATTGTGTAATTTTTACTTAACTCCCTACTAAGAAGTTGCAATAAACCAAAATCGTTAAATTCTTTATATCTAAAAATACTTAATAATATGTTATATATAAATATTTAACCTCAATACCACTTGGTTTATTATTTGTTTATAATATATTAATTTGCATTCATATTACATGTATAATCAATGTGTAAGGTGTTTGGGGTATAAGCAGAGCTAGTCAACATATTCATAATCTACTAATTTCCAATATCCATCATCAGGAAGATGCCGCTAAACCAATAATGAATAAGGATATAATTAGTTTTTATTTTTGCTTATTTTGGTATTGATTTTTTTCCCGAAATGACGACGTCGTCGAACGTCCCTAACGATAACATACCATATAACATAGGTGACCAACTTGCGGCTCGCGAGCTACATGTGGCTCCCGTAATTTTCAAATGCGGCTCACGTCTTATTTACAAAATCAAAATTTAATTAATATTATTATGAATTTTAATTTTTAGGTATTAACATATAAAAAATTATCAAATTATATAAACATTTTGGCTCTTGGTATCATTGTATTTATTTATAGGGCTCGCGAACCTATCCATGTTGGCCACCCCTGCCATTTAATATTATTCTATATTATTATTGTTACTTGATAAAACATTAATAACTTCAAAAGCGGAAATAATGTGGGAATCGCTATTATACATGATGACCAAGTAATTACACACAAGCTTCCTATGGAACGTTCCATATACACAGCTGAAGCAATTGCCATCTTAAAAGCCCCCGAATATGCACTAGAAACACAATTTCATTATTCTAAGCAATTCTCTAAGTTAAATTTCCAACATAACTAACACTCTTAAGCCTAATGGCATTACAAAAAAATCCATCTCGTCATCTCCGCCCACCAGTCTAAAGAAAACGGGGTTAAAATAATGTGGGTACCAGGTCGTTCCTTAATCGAAGGCAACGAAAAAGCTGACAGGCATGCCAAGCATACAGCCTCCTCAACTTTCTTTGACATTATTACGCTCTCCACTCTTTAAGATACCATAAGAACAATAAAACTCATTTCACTACAAGCTTGGAAAAATACATGATCAAAACAAAAAACCAAACTGAATGAAATTAAAACAACTGTCCTGCACTGGCCTAACAATTACGCCGACAAGAAAAAGGAAACCATAATTAATAGGTTAAGAATGGGGCACACTAGAACAATCCATGCATATCTAATGTCTCGAGAGGAATCCCCTCATGTTCGACTTGTGGAGTTAAACTCACAGTAAAACACATCTTTACTGAATGTGATGCATAATACCTTGAGGCAAGAAACCGTAACCAGTATTCGACACTCTTGGACCAGCTCTTCCGTCATCAGGCTTATTAATTTTCCTCCAGGAGACAGGATTATACAAACTAATTTAAGTATTAAATTGTTATCTTAAACCTTAAGCTTCATGTTATTTAAGAATTTGTTGTTATATATAATCCATTTATTATTAAGTAATTCTTGTATATATGTTTATCCCCAAAAGCCACTTTAAATTTAAAAACAAAAAAATTTAATAACTCAAAACCTAATTTTATATGAAAAGTTTTATGATGTATACAGCGTGTTCCTACAACATACAGAATGATAGGAAAAATATAAATTAATTTTTATTACTTATCGAATTTTTAAAAGTTTTTAATTTGTTTATTTATTTATTTTTTACTTTTGCCATATAATATTAAAATATAACATTGTTACATTATTTATTTAAATATTTAATTTAAGACGAATGTCAGAAAAAAATAATAAAAAAGTTATTACGAGCAGTATCATCGTCCATTAGTATTAATATTTAATTTACTTCTACTCTTTGGTTATTATATAATAATAAAATAAACTATTTAATTAAATTTATTTAATAAGTAAATATATTTTTATTTATTAAATACATTACATACATAGGATAAGTATATTTCTATGCGCAGGTCTCCGGTGTAGACCGGATGTATTTTTGACGCGGAAACACGGTATACGCGCTGATAATACTAGCAGAACTCAACGTATTTTTTTAGTTAAATGTAGAAAAATTATTGCACTCACCTTAAACTGGAACTCGTCAGAGAATGTTGTATATTAATTAAACATCTACGCATCTATGCATCACATTTGCCTAAACAAAGCACCGTCACTGAAATAATGTTAAAATTGTGTAAAAATGTTATTCTCAACGCACATTGACAATTTTGACTTGAAAAGCAAATAATGAACACGAATTATAACAAAGGAATAAATGGTAGGCATGATATTAAAGTTTATTATTTACGAATAAAACGAAAAAATTTGTTATAATATTTGCGCGATACATTAATAATCAATTATAGTGCGTGCACTGTAATTTATAAGGATATACTCAAAAGTGAAAGCTGAGTACGGACTACGAAATAAAAACGGTCCATCACATATTTTTTTTTTCTCTTATAGTTCTATATGGTAAGAATTTTCATATTTTCATGGAAGATACTACAGTACCATCGTTTGTCTTTGCATTATCTTTGGATTCAACAACAATATAGAACATTTTATTAGTACAGTAGAACTCCGATTATCCGAACTCCAATCATCTGGACGTCCAATTAACCGGACGAGAAAAAAAAACGGCACGTGCCGTTATTCATACACGTGTTTCATAATCGTTTAAAATATGTCACATATTAAAATTAAGGCTTGTTTTGTTTCAATTAAATATATAATAAAATTATTTGTTTATGGTTACAAATTTTAAATTATATTACATATATATTAATAATAAATACAATAAATACATACAATATATCCATACAATTATATAACTTTTGATATATCATACGTCAATCATACGGATTTTTGCTTATCCGGACCACCCTTGACATTAATTAGTCCGGATAATCGGAGTTCTACTGTATTCAATTTACTAAATTAGGTAAATATATTGGATTAATATTTACAAACAAATTAATATCATAGTGTAAATATTTCAGAAACAGCATCTGAAGGTCAAATTAGCAGCATAGTCCTTAAACAGTAGTGTGGTAGGTACGATTGAACATCAATAAAAAAAAAAAAAAAAAATAGAGAAAATTCATTAAAAAAAAATTAATTAACTAATTAATTTATTGGTCAAATTGTTGGACTATTGATAAATTAATCTTTAGAATTCCATTTGCAAAAAGGTATACAAGACCAATTAATGCTATATAGAAACATAAATTCTATTGATTCAGTATTTTAATAGTGTTATTTTATATTGTATGTTTAAAAACATAAACAATGATTGAACAATATTCAATATATTTAAGTAGTGGAAAAATGTCATAGGATTTGTTGTTGGTATGAATAGTGTCTCAGAAATGTCTTATAAAGTTATAAACTATTATACAAAAATCAAAACCTATATTAAAATCTTTTCTCGCATATAAAATCTCAGGATCACATTATAAAGCTTTATTTTGCTTATGTACGTTCTAAAGGTTAAACGATAAACTTCATTGTATTAAGCTTAAACATACTTAAAGGTATTAATTATTTACAACGAATATATATATATATATATTATTTAACTGTTAACAATGATTTCGAAGCCTTTGAAAATTGCGTTTTATTATTTTGCTCTAATTGAGATTTTAAGAATATTAGGTATATAATATATAATTTAACAATTAACAATTACGAGAAAACATCAATAATATTTTAGATTATATTTCAGAATAAAGGTATTATTCGAAGAATGGTAAAACAAAATATCCTCTTGTCCTTTATGTATTGAAGCATTGATATAACATCAATCTGATCATATTTATGGTAACTGCAGATTAAAATGTACTTGTTTTGTTAATAGAGGGAAATTGTTTATTGTTTAAAGGTAACTTTATTAATCGTTCAATACTTACAAATAGCATTTAAAATAATTTATGTAATGGAAAAAGTGTTTCATAAAAATGATAGAAAAGTAGGTACTGTTATGCTGTACATTAGGTATCGAGATGATTACTATAATGAATGTGTTAAATTTGAGTTCATTGATTTATCATTGTATATTTGTATAAATAAAAATTACTGAGCAAAGCGATGAATATATTGATTTTAACAACGATATGTTTTTTTTTTTGGTGTTTGTGTACATGATAAATAGTGGATAAAATTCTTTAATTTTCAACTTTGAGAGTGATTTTTAAATGGAAATTTTATCTAGTTTAATATACTTTCAGAAGTCAAAACAAAAAAAATTTTTCAAAATAATCAGGAAAAACATTTATACACTTTTACTCTATAGACTAAAATTAGTACTCAGCATCGAATTTATTTGTTAAACAATAATTTTGTAAATTATTTATAGTTAATTATTACCATATTATAAAATGTTAATAACATAATTGTACTGCATTAGTAATACTTCCTGCTTCCAACTACTCGTATGATACTACTTCTGTTAAATAAATAACCAACATAATAAACATAGTTTCTGTATCTGATTCTTCATTTTATATTTACGAAATTTAATTACAATATTTTCAACATTTTTTTTTTTTTTAATCTTAGAAAGCAAAATACATATTTATAGAATAAACACAACACAAAATGTTGAAAAATTGATCCATTACTTCATATTTTTAATAAACTATGTTTCCTACACATAAACAACGATCTTACACATATAAAATAAAGATTTATCTTGGAACAGAATATGGCTGTTCTTCTCCAGATTCATGGTATTTGATGTAGCTATTTTTGTGACTAAAATCTTTTTTGTCCTCTTGCCAACCTCTTTTAGGTGCATTCTTATAATTGAATCGTTTTTCAGTTAAACCATAAAGATTATCAATGTCTTCTAAATCATCTCTAAAAAATAAATAAAATTGTTGAGTAAATAAAACTGAGCAAGGCAATGAATGTATTAATTTTATAATAGTGAGGTTTTTTTTAGTTTTTAAGCAATTTTTGATGGCCCGCACAAAGATGGTTAATTTTTGTGTTCTACTTTTGTTCAATAACATTTTTCATATAATTTTTAATATTATATAATTCTTTTTCCTTTATAAATAAAATCTAATCTAACCGTTTCATAATAGCAATACAATTATAAGTATTATATCATAAAATGTAATTTTTTTTTTTTTTTAATGTGGCCCTTGATAAACAATTGAAAATAAAAATGGCCTGTGTGGTTAAAATGGTTGCCGACCCCTGATTTAGAGGATGGTTTCAGGTACAAAATTGAATGTAGTTGGTAATTTATGTATATTAAAATAAAAAATAAAAAAGTCCAGATACTATTCAAAATTATCAGGAAAAACAAAAGACAAATAAATTATGAGAGCATTAGATAATTTACAACACCAATTTTCGACATGACTAATTTTGAATTTGTTTAATTTAAAAATAAATGATTACAGTTACTTGAAAATATATATACCTATTATGGTTTTAGTAAATAATAATTATTGTCTTATTCTAGACATAATATCATTTTCAAAATAATTAAAATCTTTTAGAGTTTTATATAGATATTTAAAAGTTTTAACTTTTTTTCAAATTTATGTTGATAAAATTATTGTTTCCAAATTAAAAATCTTGAAAATTTATCATAAACTGTTTTTACAACAATTTTTGAATTTCGAAAATACATGTTTAAAACTATATTTAAAAAGATCAATTTTTTTTTAAATTTACAATTTTTATATTTAAAGCTTGAAAATCTAATTTAAGATTATTTATGTGTTTTTTTTAACTTAAATTGAAAAAAAATGTTTAGCATTAAACCATATCAATTTTCTAATGAAATTGGTTTTCCAAACATAACATAATTTTTATTATTTTTAAAAAATATTAATTATAAAAACTTGAACTATTATTCATCCACTATTTTTTAAATTATTAGATTTTATAAAAAATTCATTTTTTTTAGATTTTTGTTTTTATAAATGGTAATAAAAAAAATTTCCATGTCAAAAAGCTTTAAAACATAATGATATAGTATATTATATGTTCTTATAACAATTTAAAAATATTCCAAAATTTCATTATTTTTTAAGACATTTAAAATTATAATATTAATGATTTTTTTAAGCATATACAATTTGGATATAACATATTTTTTAATTTGTATTTTATATTTAGAAAAATATCAAATAAATAAGAATTTTATTTTCCAATATACATAAATGTTCATTGTATTTAAGTATTAAGAATTATTGATTTCCTTATAGATAAAGAAACCATTAAAAATTAAATTATTTTTACTACTAGTAATAGTATTAGTGAGTTTAACTTGTAACTATTAGTATAAATTAATGTGTTTAAAGCTATTTAAAATTTGGAATTAATTTTAACGCTATAAATTTATGTTAATTGACATTATAGAATAATATTCCTCTATATTGGTCTGCAAAAAATACAAAAAAATTAACATAATTACACTTGGCAATGTCAAATAACATAAAAGTCCATTACAATTGAAACGGAAATAAACATCTAAATAAATATATTTTTAATAATAATCAATCTATAAGAATATAGGTATGGGAATTAAGTGTACATAATAAATACATAATCATTGATTTGACAAACCTGTAACAAACTGTTCCACATCGTAGTGCTGCTACTTTTTTATTAGTTATAGGATCTGTAACATCACCTAAAGGATACACCACTTCGAGCACCTGATGAGTAATATGTGTTGTTAATTTTTCTGGTAATTCTTGGATAAGCACAACATCACCAGTCTTACATTTTTTTTCTGGATCATGAGCATAGTACACTTCATCTTTATGAAAATACTATAAAAATAAAAAATAAAACCAAAACCAAAATATAATTTATGTACAACAAATAAGAATTATTACACAACTCACCATTAAAAGGTTTTGGTCTAATTCTAATTTCTTAACAACAATTTTTGATGCATTTTGTTTGACAGACGGAGCACACCGGCCCATAAGCAGTAAAGATCTAGCAGCTCCAACTAAACTCATAACTGTAGTATCCGATTGACTCAAATTCAATATGAATATGAATAAAACACAAAAAACAATTAAAGATCTTATATCTTTAATTGTGATTTGAAGTTACTAAGTTACTACAAATGCACAAAAATACTAACAGAAAAAAACATGCACGAACGTCGTATCACTCATATCTCCTTAGCCGGACACAAAAAAAATTATTATAGATAATATTATCTTAGAACGTACTGAATATACTGATAACATAGAATATAGACACAGATTAATCTATTCTGTGATACAGATAAGAAATTAGAATATGAAATTTTCAATTATTGGAAATCACTAATTACTGTTTTTTTTTTTTAATTAGTATTTGATAGTTAGTGACTTCATGAATAAAGTAGTTGTGTAAGTGGACTGTTGTTAACCTCTAGTACGCCTAATTTGTATAATTATTGTATTGAATAATGTCATAATATTAATCTTTGCTGAGGAGAAAAGTAGCTAGATCTACATTATACACATTTTTATTTGGACAAGACATGACAAACATTGAAGTGTTCATTATCTAATTTAGCCAATATACCTATATTGCAAGGTATGCATAGTAATCACGGTTATGAATGCAAATTAATCTATTTAAGTAAATAACTAATTTGAAAATCTGTCGTTCAAGATTTTAGTTTGCATATGTATTATAATACGCTTAAATGAAAAATTATAATCAAGTTTAAAGTTTTTATACATCAAGAATTTAAAAAAAAAATTCAATCAATATCACTGACATAGAGTTGTTAAATTATTAAAAAAAATTTAACAGTTTATAATAGATAGATCTATATAAGGATAGTATATTCTTAATATTAGGTGTGTAACAGAAAATCGTTTTAAATGGAATACTTTCTTTTTTTTGTTTATAAAGATTGTTTATTCACGGTGTTGTAGCAGTTATAAAATATACCAAGTACTGAAGTACCTATGTATAAAACAAAAACAATGTTTTCAATCGGTGTAAAATCAAATCATTTTTTGAAGAATTTCACAAGCTTTAAAAGTAAAGTTCATATTATTACAGAATTTAAGACTTTCTCAACGGTATCCTACATACAAGGACAATCGCCAGAGAACAAAATAAGAGAGTATTTCTATTATATAGATCACCAAGGAATGGTTTGTAGATAAATGTATATTAATTAGTTAACTGAAAAATGTTTGCTTCAAAATATTTATTAACTCATATTTAATATTTCCTTGTTATACTTCAAAATCTAAAACTTAAATAAAACCAATAATTTATTATATTATAAAAAATATTTTACAAAAAACCTCTAATTTGTGTGACTATTTACATACTCGTATTTTAACCTTTGGAAAAAAAATGCATTGACTATAATATTATTTTAAATATTAGCTATTTTAAAATGTTTTACTAAATATTTAATTTATATTTTACAAAATTATTGTTCCTTTAATTTGAAGATAATAATCAAATATTAAAATATTTGAAATTTTTAGCTTTTTCTGGATGATAGCAAAATGAAAAATTTTACATCAGCTTATAAAGGTAAACATTTTCTTATTATGTTCAATTAATTTTTTATGAAAAAAATTACAACTGTTATTTTTAACTTTTAATTTAAATAAATTTCATAATAATTTCAAGATTTATTTTAAAATATATTTTTTTTCAGAAATAGATTTTTTGGTTTTTTTTTTCAAACGGTTAAAATTAAACACAACTGATCGATATAAAGAACACTTTCCATGGATATCATTGTGTGGTAGAGAACGGAATTTTGTTAGGTGTGACGACTATCCAATAGTCTTCAACCAAGTAATTAAAGGTGATAATGGCAATCTCTTATTTTGTCATAACCATGCTGGTCCAAAGTTGACAGTTCAATTTCAACCCGATAAACTCTGGATGGATGTTGAAAATGGTAGAGTTTATCATCCAGCCAATGAGCAACATGGTTCAATAGGACTTGTATCATCTAAAACAGCTATTGAATTCAGCAAAATGTTTATATACAATGATACAGATAACTATGTGCCTACACATTTTTTGTGGAGTGGTAAAAAGTATGTTCTTGACCAATACTGGTTTAAACACTTGATCCACAAATGAGTAAAATTCAAGTTTTTACCTGAATAGTGTTCATCTTAAATATGTATACATTTATATGTTATCATAAAGTTTACATTGTTGAAGTTGATCTGTGTATTTCGTTATTTGTTTTATAACAATATTTTTATTTGTGATAACAATTATTAATTAGTGTAAGAAATACTATAACAATTCTGTAAAAGTTAGACTACATTAAAAAGAGTACAAGTCCATATTAATATAATAATTTAATTATATTTTTCATTGTATTAAGCTCAATATTTTACAGATAACAAAAAGGTTTGATTCTTTTTTGGTATAGATTTTTCAAGTATAATTTTTAACACTTTTATTGAGTGTGGATCTACTTATATAAGACATGGAATCATTAAATCTTTTTCATTGATTTGTGTCACTGTTACACATTACATACATTATGATTGTAGGAATTCTTAAAATAAAGAAAACAAATGTTTATACAATTAAGTTAATGTTTATAATTATAAAAGATATCTACACTTCTCCTGAAAGTTGAAGTTTGATTTTGTGTAAAATGTTTTTTACTTTTTCAAATTCTTCTCTTACGTCTACACTTTCCATCAGGTCTTTTTCTTTCTGCATAACATAAAACATTAAAAAATAAATAAAAATATGTAAACAAAAATAACTTAAAACACTAACTTCAATTTGTGAGACCACTGACACTAGCATTAGTTTTGCAGATGACAGATATCGTTTTTTTTGGTCACTATTTTGGTTACTACAACTAATGTATGCTGTAAAGTCAAGAAAATTTAAATTTTTTATTGAATAATGAATATAAATTGATTAAAATGAATACATATTTAGCAACATACCTTCAGCTAATTCTAATGATAATTTAGTGACAACCAAACAAGAGTTTTTTTCTTGTGTCCACTTGTTGCCTTGTGTGGTGAAACGATGGGCACATTGTAAATGGTGTAAAACTTTATCAGCAGTTTCCTTATTTGGTATTGGTACAGCTTCTTCAAGATGTGCATACAATGTCCAAATTTCACCATCATTTTGAACCTTAATAATAATTATAATTATGATTAATAAAAATGTATTTAATGAATTATTCAAATATAATCTAACGCACTTGTGATGTAAGTCTTCCAAAAAGTTGTAATAAACATTTCCTATGTTCTGATGCTGGCCTATCATTTTCGTCTTTAACATTATTCTGTACGGCTTGCACTAAAATCCGCAAGACCTCCAAATCTATGTGTTTACTTTTTAAATCTAATAATCTATGATAACATTTGATTGCCTTTGATAACAAAAATATTCTAGTTACAATATGTATAATAGTTATTATTTTAGTAATAGACATTTAAATACCTCTTCAAAACAACCACAATCAACACTGACTACCATTAAATTGTCCCAAACCATCCAATTTTCATAATTACATTTCACTGCTTCTTTTAGTGCATAATAAGCTCTTGATTTTTGACCATTTTTAATATAACATTTTGCTAAATTGTTCCAAGCTTCAAAACACTGAATTTAAAAACAAAAAATATATCATTCAATTAACAATCAATTTTTGATTGAAATATATGAAACACATTACTCTAATATTTTGTGTATTACAACAACCAAAAACCTTAGCAAAAAAACTATAATTGCCGGTTTCCCCAAATGCAGTAAAATATAATATAACCACATACAAGCATAGAAAAATATTTAACTTTAATTATTCTGCTATGCACTGTGGTAAAGTTTGTATTGACATACAAATATACACAAAAAATATTATTATTATTTTGTTAGTTTGAATATTTAGAACTACATATTTTATTACTCACATCACTCTCAATGTCGCAATATCTTCTATATGCTTCTGCAGCTTCTGACCATCTTTCTTCAACCATACATGCGAAACCAAGTCTAAACCACAAGTTTTCTTGTAAAGAATTTATCTTAAGAGAATTTTTGAAGTGATCTATACTCTCTTTATACTATATATATAAAAAAAAAAAATAAAAATATATATCTTAGAGATGAATAACTTTTTTCAAATTTAAAATAAAAATACACCTTACTTCTTTTCTTGTATAATAATAAAGTGCCCAATGTTTTTGTGCACGACTACTTCGATAGTCTGAAATTTTCCATGCTTCCTCGTAAAGAGATTTATCATCAGTAGCATCTCCAAGCAAACATAATATTAAAATATGTTTAGCTACAGTGAGGTTTGGTGATTTTAACTCATTTTCAAGAATTTGTGCTGCCTATTTTAAATTACATTTATCAATATCATTTCAAAATTTAAATTCTAACCATTAATCTCACTTTATGTCTATGGCCTTGGGTATTATAACAAGCAACACATTCTTCCCACAAATCAAGAGCTAAAAACCAATCTAATGCACTTTGGATAGCGCCAATTGAAAGCATTATATTCCCCAAATATGCTTTAAGTTGCCAAGAAGGTGAAACAAAAGAACAATGAAACAGATATAATCTATCAACATTACATGGACTTGATACTTCTAAGCTGCTGACTAAGCTCTAAAAAAAAATAAAATTTAAATTAAAAATGTTAACTACAGTTTTTTTAAATATGTTTACCTCAATTTGTTGCATAGCTCGCTCCACTGATTTCCTGTTATCCCTTTCTAGTAAAGATCGTTGAAGCAAAGTTGAGACATGAATACTCCACACAGATTGTTGTGACACCAAACACTATAGTATTTAATCAATATTTAAATAATGTTCTAAGTAATAAATCATAAAAAATTACTCTTATATATGGCTGTAGTTCTTCAAATTGTAGATCATCTTTAGGTTTACACTTTTGTTCCAATATACTTTAAGAAAAATAAAATGATCTTAAATTTAAAAAAAAAATGTAGACAATAATATTATATAAGATAAAATTTAGTATTTACAGTGTATTTAAGATGGCAGCTTGTTGAAGACTGTTCAGTTTAGGAAATTGACCAGCACTTTCATTAGAAAACTTAATATCTGGTAAACGATTTTCATCATCAAGTACACAATCCTATATAAAATAAAATAAAAAAATGGAAGTTAATTTTTTAATTATGTTCTTATACCAGATGTCAAATAACTTACTTTAGGTAAATCACAACATTCATGTGAATTCAATAAATTTGTATTATTTTTTCTCGTATGTGAATTCACATTTAAGGTTAACTGAGCAAGTTCTTTTACTTGAAATTTAGTTCTTTTTCCCATTGCACCTAAAATAGTTTCATTTTCAAAGCGTAATTAATTTATGATAAATGATAATATTTCAGCTTACCGACAAGTGAATGTTCTAAACCCAATAAATTCATTGCTGTGTTCAAACAGTGATTGGCTTTAGTGATATTTCCATAATGAGTAAGATAAATTTTACATTGCTCTATCTTAAATAAAGCTTCTTCTTCATCAGTTTCCCAAACAGTATTTTCCATTTGTTTAAAAACTAGTTCAATCATGTTTTTTATATCATTTGATAATTCGTTTAATAAAGATTGTAGAGTTGAGAGCATTCGTATTTGCCACCAAGATCTTGTCTAAATCAAATAAAATAATATTACAGATATTATGTTATTAGTTCAATAACTGCTGGTTGTTATTACAAAAATATTGATTTGATCGTTGCTAAAAACTGCATAAGAAAATACCAAAAGCTCAGGATACAATACTTTTCTAGACACACAATCTAAATCATTAACTAAGCTTTCTACTACTGCAGTACTTGAACCCCAACTTTTCAAATTTCTAAAACCAATATAAATACAAAATTAAAATGTGTAATTGTGCTAGTCAAAAACCGCAATATAAATTTAATAGTGAAATGAATTTCTAATTGACTCATTATTAATACCAGAACTAATTAAATGTTCCTAAATATTTTAAATATGTATGTAGTAGGTCATAATAAAAGATAAAATTAATTTTTTTATTTTAACTTATTTAACGTATTATATAATATATTACTAAAAATATTTAAAAAAAATTGTAATTAATTGAAAAAAGCTTAGGAAAGCCAAATTCTGTGAGATTTTGATTTTCATTCTTATTTAAAAGCTACTTAAGTTTGTAAAAATTATACAAATATTTTTTTTTTCTTCAGAACAATTTTCCTAAAAAAAAAGATTATCATATTTTATTCTGAACATTTATAAAGCATAGAGTCAATTAAAAACTTAAAACTGATCTCTGATACAACATACAATTTTGATATTAAAGGTCCAGTCCAATTTGCTTGTATAAACAGCTGATAACAAGCAACCCCAAATGTGAAAATCATATTGTTTCTGTAACAAAAATGTACTAATTTTAAACAACATATACTATACGAGAAAAAACTATATATTATTAATTGTATGATTTTAAATTTTAAGCAGTAATTAATTAGAATCATGTATTTTTATAATATCTATCAAAATATTAAATGAGATAATTTGAGTACCTATGGTTTATGTTTTACTTTTTAACATTGAAAACTAGATGCTAAAATACAATAATAACAAATTAATTTTTTTGTACTGATTAACATGTAATATGCTAAACATAAAAAAATATCAGTAGTGATTATAGTATTATTTGTGTATATATTATTATTGTTTTTTATCCATTATTAAAAAAATTGATTTTTTACAAATAAATAAGTGCTTATTAAAATGTTTGAATATTTGTTATATCTAGAATCTAATTGAATCTAGGTAATCAGTAACTACTAAAAATAGTGTCAAAGAGAACTGCAGAGTACTGAGTTAAATTGAAATAACCTGGTTTATCCTCAGGAAATTTGTATAATTATCTAGAAAATAATTGTTTTTTAAATATTTATTAATTTTTAATGACAATTATGCAAATTAGAATTTATCTTAATGATTCTTGTACATTTTAGTATCACTAAAGAAAATATAATATACCTACAAATATAACACAAGCTAGGTAAATAACTCTATAAGATTTATCACTAACTAATTAATAATTAATTACTTACTTTAATGGATTTAAATGTAAAAAATCACTTAAATGTTTTATTATATTTGAACTGAAATTTAACTTGTCCAAGTGTTCTAATTCATTATATAGTCTCAAAAACAAATCATTTTCCAAAACTTCAACATAGTTGCCTTTCAGAACATTTTTTATTTCATTTGATGTAACGTCTGAAAGCAAGATTTAATGACAATTAATTAAAATTTCTTATTTGTTCCAAATAAAATGGCCCACAATAATTTATACCTGAAACAATTATTTTATTATATAATTTTGAATATGTATCACCATACATCAGACACTTTTCTATGTCGGTAAACATTTCGATAGACATATTATCTTTTTTAAAACTAAATGTTTAAATTAAAATAATGAAATATAACAATTTATTAATCGTATAACACATAAATATTTAAAAAAAATTTAAAAACGTAATATCAAAACAAAAACATGCAGATTCTGTAATATTCAACACATAACCTCAAATTGAACACTGTTATCGTTTTATCAAAAATTCATCAAAAGTTATCAGTTATCACAGTCACTGCTAAAGTCTTAGGGGAATTCGCGCTCTGTTTTCTCTCTCTAGCCTACTCATAATATGGACAATACAAAATTCACGATAAATCATTTTTTCGCATTTTTGAATAATCTTAGAGTAAAATCATGCATAACAATAATTATAAAGAATAGTAATTTAGAAGGTTCATATCGACCGATTTGTCTAAATATTGACTCAAACAATTTAATATCCAATTATATTTAAAAATATTTTAATTTATGATGTTAAATTCAAAACCAATCTTTCAAATTTTCAAAAATATTATACTCTACTATTTTTGTAATGGGTGATTTAAGATGGTAACCAAATTCAGGCCTTGAAGTTATAATTTATCCAAACCACCTTGTACCAATTAAATCACCAAAAAAAAATTTTATTTTTAGAACCTTCAAAAATATATCTACAAAAGAATTTCAATAACAATTGATTGTAATTTGTAATACAAATAAATAGGTATACTTATTCAATTTTTTTTTTATAATATATCTAATACTTCTTTTAGTGTTATAAACAGGGCTGTGAATTTATAGGAAAGTGCATTGTTTTTGGTGATTGTAAAACATAGCTTTGTAAGTACACAATTTGAATTATGTAATTACGAATCCATCTATGAAACTTTTATTTTGCATATTTTTGCATTTTTTGACGTTTTTAATTTTTTAGGTCATTTTTTCGCATTTTTAGGTCATATTTTGCTTTTTTTAGTTCATTTTCTAGTATTTTTTAACCAAATTTTGCTAATTAACTTGTTTGAAAACTTTTTTTTATTTTACACAGGCTGTATATGTATATTATGTCAAATTTTTTAACTTTTTTTATTAAATAAACACTTTTTTGTACTAATATTTAATATCCTGTACCAAATATTAATATAAATATAAAAATTAAATTAAAAACCATTTTAAATGAATTTTATACTATAATTTTTGGCATTTATATTCTTTTTTTTTGCATTTTAAGTGCATATTTTATTGCATTGTTTTGGAATTTTTAATGCATTTTTTAAGGTTTTTTAGTGCATTAAATTCACAGCTCTAGTTATAAATGTATTACATCCATGCATCTATATAGTGTTTAGGAAAATAACTAAACCGATTAGTGAAATAATTGCTCGACATTTTTATTTAATGTAAAGAATCTTTTCAACAAATAAAATATTATTAGGCTGAATTGAGAATAATTAATTACGTTATTTGCTGAAAACTATTAGCAACACGTGTTTTCAAGCATTAAATTAATATTTGTATTACAGAATAGTTTTCTATTGATTGCATTTACAAAGAATTCGTTCTCATAAATAACTAAAACTGTGGATTTCAACCACGATTTTGTAAAACCATTGATCACACTACCTTCTCGACTTAGAAAATGTGTGTATTGTAAAAAAGCAAGTGTCTTCAAGCCAGTCTACAAGTGCGCAGGCTGCTATGAAACATGCCATCGCGAACGCCCCATAAAAAGTTTTCACGAATCATAATTGAGCAAATGCGTAAATCTGAAGAGTTAAAGACCGACAAACGAAATAAATGAAAACGAAATAGTCGCACAACTGCACGAGGGAGCGCGCATAAAATATCAGAGAACAAAATAAGACGAATATTATTTACCTACTGCGAAACGCAAAAAAAAAATAGCAAAATCAGTTATTTCCGACACGCAACGTGCGCGTTATGTGGACGACATGATAATAATTATTATAGTTAATAATATACACACGTGTGCGACATTCGGCGGTGCATCGCGTCGAGTTCTCGCCGCGTCATCAGGCCGTTCGCGCCGGACAGACGTAACGCGTGACGACCACGACGATCGGTGACCGTCACTTATCGGCCGGCCTCGACTGCAAGCGTTGCGTGCCCGTTTTAGATAATATGACCGCCGCGGTCGTGACGAACGGTTATTGCGTTCATTCTTTTATAAATCGCGGACGCGTGCGCACAGTATTTCAATAAAATATGTCAATAGACAATAATTTATTTATTTTGTACCTAAATCTTTTGCGCTCGACTGTATTTTTTATCATATAACGCCGTGCGCAAATCGTTAGCGTAGGGTACCTATAACACAGGTATAGGTATGGGGGTGTTTGGCGCCGTTTCGCCAACTGTTTAGTCCAGAGATGGCGAACCTTTCTGTACCTTTTTGGTTTTATTTTATTTTCCTATTGTGCGTCAACTGATTCGATGACCCGTTTTTCAAACTTAAAAATGTCTATGGCTTGAATGATAAAAAAACGAGTAAAACATTACATTATTAAGAAGTTTAAATATATTAGACACTATTTAGGCTATTAGAGTATTAGACTCTTAAAGTATAAATAGTACATAACAACATAACTCATAAGTAGTTCTTAGTAAATATTCAAACCTATTCCATTTTCTGATTTTCATGTCATTCTTTCTACCGTAATTTCTAAATTACTCATATAGCAGCCAGAAAAATACGTTTTTATAGTAATTTTGCTATAGAAAAAAAGAGATTTTCGAAATGTAATTTTTACGAAAAATATGTACTCCTTGGCCATAAACAAACAAACTCAATTTTGATATTTGAACTACAGTTTATCTCCCATAAAATTAAAAAACACATGAAAACTGCCAGCAACAGGTTTCTCCCGTCTCCATATCGGACTAAAAATATAATTATTTACATTAGGTATACAACAATACCCAAATCATCATATAATTACTGTAGAACAAAAGGTAATTTATAAAATAACACAACTAGTAGTAATAAACGGAGCGAGCGATGAAACAAGTCCACTTTGACATATACATATTATGTATTAGTGTATGTATTTACATGTATTAGTGTATATATTTACATAGCAGGTCGGAGGATTATCTATTATTTATTATACATTTTGTAAGGTAATCATAAATAATTATATATTTATATGTATATATTTGGACTCCAATGGAACGAACGTAGGATGACCCACCTTTCTGGAATATATACGTACACGTACATTTAAAATGTAGAAATATTGTAGTGATGGTATTTAATGTTACTGCACAGATTTTACTTTCCTATAGCATATAATGTATCATACTAGCCGATAATCTGCATAATTTTAGTTATTGGTTGGATACATATTATATCCAATGGTCTATAGTCAAGTTTTAAAAAAAAAAAAGTTTTTAATTTATTTATCTTGAATACAATCATAAAAAATACATAGTTTTTATACACGTCAATGAGCATAAAAAATAGGTAATTTGCATAAAAAATCGCCATTAAAACTATTTAAAAAGTAATTTTTGTAGTTTTCTATATTGCATCACAATTCACAATCATCCGTGCGTTATATTATATCATAATTCTATAGAGACTAGAGTGTTACCTAAATATAATATAGTGAAAGAATAGTATATAACGTACAACGTTTGGTTGTTCAACTCAATCAAATCTGTATTATTTTCAACAAACATGTTAATCATTTTTAATGGGTAAAACATTAAGAAACAAAATAATTTATTGGACTGATCACTATGATACAGCTAGATAATATAGTGGATACTATTTATATAGTCGTATAAATAATATGACAAGACTCAGCCGGCATAAAATATACAAACAATACATTTATTTATTTATTGACAATGATTAATCTTGTAAAACATAGGAATAATTAATTATATTATTGAACATAAACAAAAGATTATGTCAACGTGAGTGCGTACTTATACCGGATGGACACACACACCACGCCGATGGACACGCGCAACTAACTATAGTGACAACTGTACGCCGCGTTGTGAGTCAGCAAAGCATTTATCAATGTAGACATACGCACACACACACACAAACACTATTGTCTTCATTATAACCCAAGAAGTGACGCGGTTTCAATTTTCTTCATAATGTGACTGCGGTCTGCCAATCTATTAGCCGAGTATTGTATAATTAATATATGATTATTATTCATCCGCTGCTAGGCACCGCTACTATATCTGGACCAGTAGTTGACGCTATACGCCGCTGTTGACGAATACCGTACGTCTACCAGCATCGTAGTTTTAATAATAATTATCATTGCAGGGGCCAACGTGTTCGGGGATTCAAAACTGTATGTAAGGAATCTCGAATTGAAGCGCCTCGTCGTAAAATTAGGTGTGATTTCGTAGGTTTCGTACGGATTACTGTCGCACACAATGTCCACAATGCGTTTGTTCGCAACGTTTTTTTTTTTTTTTTTTTGGTAACGTTGCAGGCCATCATTGTCTTTACGCAAGATTCTGAAGTCATTCTAAATACGAAAGAGTGTCTGCTTCAGGCCATCGTTAGCCGAATTGGATCGTTGAAGTCTCTTCGATGATGGACTGTGGAATTGATACATCGGTTGTCTGCGGATACGGTTGAACCGAGCCGACAAAAATATCGTACTGAAGTGATGCATCGATTGACTGCAGCAATTTCGAGCGAGAGACAATTCGGAGAGTAGGTTTTGGTTTCCATAGGGAAAATGTTATAGATAGGTACGAGCCGGGGAAGACTTTACAAGAGACTTATGAGAGACATAGGTAGGGAGATCAAGGAAATCATTTGAAAGACTGTACGGGGAAAATTCAATACACCAAATACGCTGAATATGTGAATTTGCAAATCAAATGAGTGTTGCTATAACTTGTCTGCAGCTGTGGTGGTTATGACAAAGAGTTTAACAGTCTGTAGTTCGAAAACAAGGGTAGTCATGGTCAGTGGCGTATTTTCAATTTTTTTGTGGGGGGGGGGGTCTTAATATTAAATATAAGTTTATAACATTATAATAAAACACATACGAGTTATGATTTAATAATAATATTATTTATATTATATTATATTTCACTATTA